CAGAAAATGACACAAACTTACTTGATGGCGTTGAGCAAACATTCGACACTCTTCGGATTCTGTTCTTTCAGAAGTCGTACGCAGCTCTTTACCTATAAGAGGGGAAGGAGAGATAGAGCGGAGGATTTAAAAAAAAAGCAAGGAGCAAGTCGCAGAAAAAGAAGCACTACCAAAGTTACGGTTAGTGGCGAGGCAGAAAATATCTCAGAAAGGCAAACTAAATATGACGTCCCAGTCGTCTTTTTTTCAATGCACCAGACAGGAGCCTGGGTAAAAGAGGTGGAATAGAGGGTGGAGAGGATCCCGAAAAAAAGGACTGGAAGATTTGCATAAAGAAGGACGTGCAACGCAGGAAAGACAGACATAGACTGTGCGCGCAACTGGCATTTAACTCCTCCTATTGAAAAACAGCGGCACACGGTCGGCTCTTTTCTATCATGGTAGCGTCTGAATCTTGATTGAGATTTATCGCGTTCATAGCACTCAGACGCACACGTTTGCGTACTAGCGCGAGCATAAGTCATGTCTAGTGCCTTCATGCAAACCGAGAGAAAGGGTGTTCACGCCAGCAAACTGTCCACCCTAATAAGACAAACGGACTCCTGAATAGGAGTCAGCTAAAACAAACATGGTAGAGCTTGGTTTACATAGGTTAAACACCTTATTCCCGATTTTTTTCCGGTACGGTCTCTCCTTGGAGTTTTTTCAGTTTTGTATCGGTTCATCAACCATAGGGAAAGTAGTTCTACATGCTTCAAAACCCCGAGGTCATCTGATGCGAAACACACAAAAGGTTGCCTTTAACAAGAGAGAAATCGACGAATTGAAACTAATACGGCTGCTTCACTGTAGGAGGAAGGAGGCCCAGGTGTAAAGATATATAAACCCTACCTTCTACGTCCTTTTAACATCTTTTTGCAAGCCTTTGTAAAGATCCCCAAAGAGTTAGAAAAATCCTTCTAGGGCAGTCCTTTCCAAATGACATAGTCAATTCTAGTACCGCCTGCAAGGCGGAGCTTCATACTCGACAACATTAAAGTTGTGGGCAACATTTACTGTTGAAAAGGCAGTACAAGATGATTGATTATCCCCTTTAACATCAATCAGTAGACGTTTTAATTTTTAAGTAGAAATGCTATCAATGAATTTACACGATAAAACTATGCCCCATTGCATTTAACGGCGTCTGTAGGCAACCTATCCCGACACTCTGGATTTCGGTAGCAAGCTATTTCAACTCAACATAAGTTCGTACGCTCAAGGGGTTGTATGTTGAGCAGGCGGAGCATAACATGCATAATAATCCCAATGGAGATTAATTTTAATTCATGTATTAAAAACCAAGACGACCACTTAAAAGGGACAGGGTTTCAAACCCTGTTGCAAGGTAATCTGCTCGAGGATGCTCGACACCTCAAGAAGCCAAGTTTTACGCGCAGATCACCAACCCATATAACAAACATCTGCAAGTATAAGATTGAAAGCTTGACTATTTAC